ATGCCTTTGGCACACCCAGGGCACAAATGAGCCTCCCTGCCTCTGACAGAAAACATGAGATCTGGCTGGGTACACTTCTTTCTGACAAAAAACAACATGGATGGAATCTTCAGCTAAGCTTTTTGAGTAGCACCCAATTTTACCAATTATTTTTAAATTAAATTATGTCCAAGTGATGGGCAGAGACGTAGCTAGAGGTGAAAACTCAGATGGCAGAGAAAAGAGTTTCTCACTTGACTATTTATAAATTATAACAGCAAAACTGAGGTTTAAGAGGCAGACAGCCACTAAGCAGAACTCAGGAGGGGACGTAACGCAAGGCTTTTCAGGAGAAAACAGGCAGGACTATCACATAGCCCTGGGAACAAGAGCTGCTTGGTCATTTTCCTCCCACTAATGAACTACTCAAGTAGGTTCAATAAACACATATGTGTCTTTTTATGTCTTCTGCAGGAAAAAAGAGTAAATGTGTTTTATTCTCTAGTGGTCAGAAAAATGGGGCTTGCCTCCAAGCTTCACCCACTGTGCCAAACAAGTGGACACAGGGCAGAGGATATCATTATCAGAACCAAAGTGGCCGCTGAGGGGAAGCCTCTGTCCCTCTTCACAAAGGAGGCTGACTCATAGGTCAGGAGCCTGTTACTAACGCACACAAAGTACTCAGAGAAACCCAAGAGCAGATATTGTCCCTATCAAGCTGAGGACTGTTGTCACACAAATCCGTTCATCTCCTCTCTAAGGGCTGGTCGGGGAGTCAAGTGAATCTCCTGACATAGAAATGGATTTGTACAGCTGCTTCATAGAAATCACACTGCTCAATCTATGGACCAACTTCTATGGCTCAGTCTTCCAATTTGGAGACATTGTGACAAAGGAAACAAGGTCCCTTTCCCCAAAGCCCATAGCCCTGAAGGGCAGAGTGATAAGTCAGCCAGGCAAACTAGGACAGGCTGAAAGGACCATAAATGTGAGACAAAATGCCCTCAGAGGGCAAGATGGGTGGGGCAGGTTGAATCAGGAAGCTTTTGGGAAAAGAGTGGTTTTAGCAACAGCGTACCTAACAGTGATACTGGGTAGAGGAACCCCTGGGCAGGGAATGAGATGGCAGGTGGTAAGTGTGGGTGCCGCCAGACAATGAAAATAGAAGCCCAGGAAGACAAATGAGGGGCCATGTAAAGGGCACTGGGCTATGCTGAGGAGCTTATCCTTTGTCTACTGAGATTGACATAATTTTTAAAAACATCATTAATTAATTCACTTATTTGGTACAGGGTCTCGCTACACAGATCAAACTCATAGTGATTCTCCTGTCTCAACCAGCCCAGCTGGGGTTACATGTGCCATCATGCCCTATTTCGGTGGCTGGCATGGTGTGCTGGGGTTCTAGGACCAGCACTGTACACCCAGGTTCCAGGGCCAGCTCAGCCTGTGATACTGGGAATTGAACTTAGGTCCTTGTGCTTGGGAGGCAGGTGTTTAGACCACCATGCTGTCTCCCCAGCCTGATAGCATTTTTGATTAGAGAAGTTCCATTGTGTAGATTGCTTCACAGATGAATTATCCCTGTGGCCAGGGAGGAATCTATGAAAAGGAATCAGAAAAAAGAAATGATCAAAATTTTATATAATATATATTTGAACTTTGGCAACTAGAGCCTTCATAAATCCAGGTTGGAGGGGAAAGCCAATAGACACATGCAAGATACATTCTAGTTCTTTGTCATAGAGAAACTAGATATTTAAATATTCTTGGGGAGAAAAACAACTACCACTCATGTCCAGGTAGGTGTTCAATTTCTTCAATTTCAAAGAAAATAAAACAACAATCCCACAAAGCAGGACCCAGTGAGTGTGTTCCACTGGAAAAAGTAACTGACTCAATAATAATCAAATGAAAACAGCAAATTACTGCTCTTATAAAAATCTGGAATAAAAGAACAGTTATCCTTAGGTTTTAAGTGAAATATAATTTCATAATTCCTCTCATCCACCAAAGAACCACTCTTTAAAAACTTTCCAGTTGTAAAGGTACAGCTCCATTGACCAGAAAGGAGAAAATTTTTTGCCATTCCACCTTCCTTCCTAAGCCAAGAAAATTACTAATGAAAACTTTCAAGTGACTGCCACATCAACTTCCTTTGCTTACACCTTCCCTAGCTGGTCTCCGTAGCAGTGGCCCTAACCAGGCACCTGGCTCCCCATGATCCCAATCCTTATACCAAGTGTGCTCAGCTGAAGTCAGGTAGCACAGTGATGTGGAAGTGACAGATGGAATCGTTTTATAATATGTAAAATTGGAATTTGAAAAGGACTTCCTACCTTCCTCTGATTTTGAAAACAGATGTGAGTTTGAGTAGAAATAGACATCTTTCCTACATTTTTTCTCCCTTAGTGTTCAGATCCTATTAATCATGGCAAACTGAAATTTTATGCAAGCCAACAGATTTCAAAGGCCTTGCCAAGAGGACAATTTAACCATAAGAAATCAGCTTCCCACTCTTCTCAGCCTGGAATTTCCAATGACTGAGGCATTGAATAGTTGCTTTCAGAAATAAAAGTCCGGAAAGAGCATTTGCTTCACACTTCCTGCCTGAGCACTCTGTACCCTGTTTGTACCCAGGCCCTGCTTCATTGATCCAGCGTCAGCGGCACAGGCTGCCACCTGTGACCTCGACCCTGACAGTGGCCCCACGGAGATAGGAGACTTCTAAGCCGCCACTGTATCAGGAAGAACAGGGAAATGAGGATCTGGAAAAGGCTAACCCAAGATAAATCTAATGGATGGCAAGTCTACACCGGTGCATAGATACCTCAATTTACAAACAAAGTCACCCCGATCCCTGGTTCATGATTCCCAGAATGGCATTCCTCTTCCAATTCAGTAGGTGTGGACTCCTTCAGGCTTTGCAACTCCAAGCTTGGAAGCTCTCTCAGCTGTGCATGAGGGTTCCATCAAGACTACAATCCTGTCCTCTCTCTCAGAGTGAACACCAAACTCCCCCCTGTTTCCTGGACACCTCAGGCAGATGTCTCAATAGCCTCTCACACCGAGTGTCAAAACCCCACAAAAACAGCATCCTCCCTCCAGCATCTTCCCTGCACCCCGAGTTTCCCATCCCATGGTTCTGTAGCACTAACTATCCCAGAAGACCTTTTGAACGACCTGTATGTAACTGGGTAATTTCCTAGTGCTCTAGTAGTTCTAGCAACTGTAGTTACTGCCGTGGCTAACCCCATATCATTTTCCTGGAATATCATAACAGAGTTGCTTTCCTACAACTTGGATTAAATCAGGTATTCTAGCAATTTACAAACACTTAAAATTCCCTTGTTGTCAACTTGGTAAATACAGATTAAAAATAAATAATGCAGCTTATTTATTTTGGCTCACCACCATCTAAGAGTTTTCTGACCATTTTATCTGTGTGGATAACAAATCCCACAAGAAAGCCTGGTGTCCATGCAGATATGAGTCCTTTCCATACACCCACATACCCAGCACTCAAGACTGGCTTTGCTGTTCTCCCATAATGAGCACTGGCAGATTTAAAAAGCAAAAAAATGAAGCCAGGAGACATGTCCTCCTCCCAGAACTGATTGTACATTTTCTGTGGCCTGCACCATTAATCCTCAGCCTCAAGTCAGCATATACTTGGTCCCTAACTCACTAGAACCCTCAGCACCTCGGGAACAGTTTGCAGCAAGGAAGTGCCTGCTGAAACCCATCTTGAGCTGACCAAGTCCTAGGATAAAAGAGAACGTAGTTCACACTGGAGTCTCCAGGTCTGGTTGCTCTTACAGCCATGGTGCCTATCCAAAGGACAAGATATCACTCTTCTCAGAGTCCTCAAGGTCCCTGCAGGATGCAGGTAGCCAGACGTGCTTACTGGGCCTGCCTTTGCTGTTTAATCTGAAGCGTCCATCACTGTAGTCACAGTCTGACCAGAGGCAACTTCTGGGCAAGGCTTACAGAGGGTTCAAACTATAATCTGCTGCTGTTAAAGAATAAGCTATGAACCATGCTTTGGGGGGTTCCTGAGAGGATCAAATACAAAGGGATCTTTCAAATAATATTTTTGTCTTAGGTTGACTATGTCAGTTATGGAAAGAAATGCAGGTCACTGATATCTTTGGCACAAGAGTGCAGCAGGTAATAAAAAGAGAAGCTATCAATGTGTGTATACACACACACATGCACACGCACACGCACATGCATGCACACACACACACACACACACACACACACACACACACACCTGCAGCAAAAAACTCATCTGCCATACTTAGGAATTAAAATTAAAATGATGATTAAAACCAAAATTTACTACATTCAAAATTCTGTTACCATTTAGTTTTGCCAGTCTCAGAACTGAATATTCTATTAACCTAGTAGTATTAGTACAGTAGCATCAGAACATTTGACCTAAATCCATATAATTTCTAACATGAAGGAGGTGGGAGATTGTTTCCACATAATTTATGTTAACAAACTTAATAAAAGCTATGAACTGTAACCATCTCACCTACTGTTTTTTACAGTTTAGTGGCTACGAATTGAAGCTTCATAAAAAATGATTTATGCATGCAGAGCAACCAGTCTTTTATTTAAATTGCACCCCCTCCCCTCTGAGAACATTGCATATTTGTTCCATTGCTCATTGCTGACGGAATCCCACTCGCTTGGCGCTGGCCCGGCCTGGCACTCCGCTATCTGTGGTCACCACAGGTTCCAAAGGCACCACCTGAGGCAACCAATACTCCTCTTGCATTATTTTTTTTCATAGATTGCTGACATGGAAGCCAGAGTTTTTAGAAATTCTAATCAGCTTCAAATCTTGCCCGAGCCACTGAGTTAGCATCTCATAGTTAGGGGACACTCGGCCCCAAAGTACATTTCATTATTAATAAAAGTAAAGACAAAGGAAGGGTAGGAAGAGGGAGAGACAGAGACAGAGACAGACGAGGGGACCGACACCACCAGGCCCAGGCCCGCTTCTTTACCTGCATTCAAATGACTGTCATTGCTCTCCCAGGCAGAGTGATCTTTGCTGGATGAGAAAAGCCGACTGTGGATCTGGAAAATAAACAGAAGCCTTTCCCAGTTTTATATTTTTACTTGCCAGATATATAACCTTCAGTAATACACTTCCAAAAAGGAACATCCCTAGAATCTCTCCTTTTTCCCAAAAAGAACCACAGGACGTCATGAACATATATTCCCATTTTTTTCTGAGCAAACTCTGTGAGTAAAAGGTAAGTTTCTAAGGATTTCAAAATATACAGGGAGAAAGGAGGTGGAGAGAGAAACACAGCAATCAGCCAGTGTGGACTCTGGTGTGCTTTTTTTTTTAAGCAGGTCAAAGCTCAGCATCTAACATTTCTGTTCCAGCCCATCACAGTTCTAGAAGGGTAATAGGCTAAAACTGAAGTCAATAAATATTGACCAGTTATGGGCAATGAAATATCAGGAATCAACTTTTAAAGCCCAATGAAAATAATGGGTCATGGTATACCAAAGTATTATGCTCTCTGCAAGTGTGATTATTATGCTGATTTTCCTCCCAAAGGCAAAGGTTATTTTTTCCTTGATTGTTTAAAAATGTATTTTAAGTAGAGTATAATAATTGGTAAGACATTAAAAATGATACACATTTAGAAGAACAAGATGAAAGGCATTCAACCATGGGTCTTGTATTACACATTGCTGTCCTCAATGTAGTGGCTCAGATCACAGATACCAGCATACAGAGTTAGTCAAGATGAAAATTCTAAACATTAACTGCTATTTAAAAAAAACTGAGAAATTATGAGTATAATCATCTCAGCTATCCTGTATATATACTTGCATATTTTTTCCTCCTGTCTTTTTTCCTATCTTTTCTCTTTTCTCTCATCTTCCTTGTTTAATCCTTTAGTTCCTTTCCATTTTACTATATCATATATAGCTTTCAGGCTTTATTTATTCTTTCAGGTTCTTATACTAGGAAGACAACATGATATTTGCACCTGTGGATCTGATTTATTTTGCTTATGAGTATAACCTTTAGTTGCGTCCACTTACCTATAAAGACTTAAAGTTTGTCTTTCTTTATAGCTGAGTAGTACTCCATTGTATAAAAATAACACAACTTTTTCATCCATTCCTCAAGTGATGGGTATTTTAGTTGCTTCCAAGATATGGCTATAATAAATTGTGCTGCTATAAACATGGGTGCATGTATATCATTATGGTACGATGTTTTCAGTTCTTCTGAGAAAATACCCAAAAGTGGAATAGCTGGATTGTATGAGATTTCTACTCCTAGTTTTTTGAGGAGTCTCCACACTGATTTCTATAGTGGTTGTACCAGTCTACCTTCCCACCAGCAGTGGATAAGTGTTATTTTGTCCCCAAGGCCTCACCATTCACTATTAGTTGATTTCTTTATGATAGCTATTCTTTCTTGGGTGAGATGGTAACTAAATGTTGATCTAATTTGCATTTTTAATGGGCAGTGCTGTGGAACATTGTTTCATGTATTTATTTGCCACTTGTATTTCTTCTACTGAGACATATGCATTCATCTTACATGTCCATTTTTGGATTGGGTCTTTAAATTTGGGGGGCCAAATTTTCTTTAGTTTTTTTATAATTTAGGTAGAAATCCTTTGTCTGAGTGATTGTTGGTTATGATTTTTCCCAATTTGTAGGTTGTCTTTTCACTTGGTTGGCAGTACTTTTGACATGCAGAACTTTCTCAATAAGATGAGATCCCAGTTATTGATTCTTTGCAGTATTTCTCATGCAGTTTGGATTTTGTTTATGAACTATCTGCCTACTCCTATGTCTTCAAGATTTCCTCCTTTCTCTTCCAGGAGATTTAGTATTTCTGTTTTAATGTTTAGATCTTTATTCCGTTTTGACTTTAGTTTAGTGCATGGCAATAGACCCAGGTCTAGTTTTAGTTTTCAGCATGTGGAGAGCCAGTTCTCCAAGCACCATTTGTTACAGAAGCTATGTTTCTTCCACTGAACATGTTTGGCCCCTTTGTCGAAGACAAGATAGCTGAGTGTATATCTGTGGTTGTATTTGCATCTTCTAATCTATTGCCTTGATCCTCAGGTATGCTTTTTCACCAGTACCATGCTGATCTTATCACAGTAGTTTAGTAGTATAATTTTGAGTCAGAGATTATAATCCTCCTGCCTTGCCTTTCCTGCCCAAGATTGCCTTTGCTACTCTAAGTCTTTTCTGGTTCCAAATAAACTTTAAGAATGTTTTCTATAGATCTGGGAGGTATGTTGATGGTATTTTGATTGGGATTGCTTTAAATCTGCATAACAATTTTGGGGATACGGCCATTTTCACAGCGTTGCTTCTTTCTATACAGAAGCAAGGAATATCTTTCCATTTTCTGAAATTCTCTTCAATCTCTTTTTTTAAAAGAGGGTTATAATTTTCATTCTATAGATCTCTTACTTCCTTTGTTAAATTAATTCCTAAGTATTTCATTTGTTTTGATGATATTGTGAAGAGTACTGTTCTCCAATTTCTCTCTCAGTGAATTTGTTATCTGTGTAAAGAAATGCTATTGATTCTTGGGTAATGACTTTGTTTCCTGCTATGCTACTGAATTTGTTGATTAATTCTAGGTGCTTCATGGAGGAGTTTTTTGGATCTCCCAAGCAAAGTATCATGTCATCTGCAAATACTGATAGTTTAACATCTTCGTTACCTATTCTTATTCCTTTTATTCCTCTTTCTTGTCTAATAGCTCTAGCTAATAATTACTGAACAATATTGAATACAAGTGGTGAGAGAGGACATCCTTGCCTTGTACCTGATTTGAGAGTGAAAGTTTTCAGTTGTTCTCCATTTAGAATTATGTTGGATGTTGGTTTGTCTTAGATGGCTTTTATCAGGTTAAGGTATAGACCATTTATTCTAATTTTCTATAGGGCTTTGATCATGAATGGGTGTTGGACTTTGTCAAAAGCCTTTTCTGCCTCAATTGAGATGAGCATGTGGTTTTTGGTTTTGGTTCTATTGATATAGTGTATTACATTTATAGATTTGCATATGTTGAACCATTCTTACATCCATGGAATGAATCCTACCTGATCATGGTGTACAATCTTCTTGATGATTTGCTGCATTCTATTTGCTAATATTTTATTAAGTATTTTTGTATCTATAGCCATGAGGAAGATTGGACTGTAATTCCCTTGTTTGTTTGTATCTTTCTCTGGTTTCACTATCACTATAATTGTTGCCTCCAGGAATGATGTTCCAGGAGTATTGCTTCCTTTTCAATTTCATTGAAGAGTTTGAGGAGTACTGGGTTTAAATATGCTCTAAATTTCTTGTAGAATTCAGCTGTGAATCCATTGGGACCTGGGATTTTCTTTTTTACTACATTTTCAATTTCATTGGTTAATATTTTGTTATTCAGAGTTTTTATATCTTCTTGATTCAGATTAGGCAATTTGTACATATCTAGGAACCTCTCCACTTCTTCTGTATCTTTGATCCTGTGAGAGTAAATATTTTCAAAGTAGAAAAAAAAAATTTTCCAAGTAGCTCTTGATTATTTCTGAATTTCCACTGGATCTGTAGTAATTTCTCCCTTTTCATTCCTTACTACTTGAATTTGAGTTTTTGTTCCTCTTTTTAAGGAGGTTGGCTAGGGGCTTATCAACTTTATTTAATTTTTTGAAGAACCAGCTTTTGGATTCATTAATTCTTTGTATTGTGTTCTTTGTTTCAACTGCATTGATTTTTGCTCTAATCTTTATAATTTCCTCCCATTTTTGGGCTTTGGGCTTGGCTTGCTCTTCTTTTTTCTAGAAACCTGACATGCAGCATTAGGGTATTTGTTTGTTCTCACTCAGTTTGCCTAATGTATGAGCTCATCGCTATTAATTTCCCTCTGAGAACTGCTTTCATTGCATCCCACAAATTCAAGTTGTGTTTGAATTTTTGTTGGATTGTAGATATTATTTAATTTCTTCTTTAATTTCATCTGTAACCCACTGGTTGCTGAGGAGGGTATTATTTAATTTCCACACATCGAAGGCATGTTTTTGTGGTTTCTTTTGTCGTTAATTTCCAGTTTCATTGCACTGAGGTCAGATAATATGCAATGAATAATTTCTATTTTCTTACATATACTTAAGCATGATCTATGGACTAGTATATGGTCTGTTTTAGAAAATGTCCTGTGTGCAGCTGAAAAGAATATGTATTCAGATGCTGTTGGGTGGAGCACTCTGTATATGTCCATTAAGTCCATTTCTTCAAAGGTCTGGTTCAGTTCTGCTACTTCTTTGCTAAGTTTTTGTCTGCTTGACCTATCTTATTGAGACTGTAGAATGTTTTATTTATTTATTTTTTAACATTTATTTATTGTGTGTGTGTGTGTGTGTGTGGCCAGCTCAGCCCAGCAGGGGGCGGGGCAGCCTGGCATGTGGTGCTGGGGGATTGAACCGCGGTCCCTGTGCTTTGCTGAGCTTGTTCTGAGTAGGCGCTTTAGACTACTGAGCCATCTCACCAGCCCAGACTGTAAAATGTTAAGGTCTTAACATAAAACTAAAATATTGGTTATTAGATTTTTCATGTCCTTTGAAATTTGTCTTATATAGTTGGGTGGTCTCATCTTTGGTGCACACATACTTATGACTGTTATCTCTTCCTCTTGAACTTTTCCCTAACCAGTACATAGTGACTTTTTTTTTATCTTGTTTGATCATTCTTGGTTTGAAGTTCAGATTGTCTGTGAATAAAATAGCTACCCCTGCTCTTTCCTGAGGCCTCGCAGCATGTAGTATTGTGTTCTATCCAAAGGCAAAGTTTTATCCTGTAAGCAGTTCACTGTGAGTGAGTCTTGGACTCTGATCATAATCACAGTGAGGCACAGAGCATCCTGTTCTCTCTGGAACATCCCAGGTCCTCCCTCAGTCCCTGGAATCTACTCTGGCCTTACCGAAGGCCAAGAAACAGCCCCAACCCAACCTGGGCTTCAGTAAAAGGACAACTCAGTCTAAGAACTCACTTCCAGCTGCTCTGATCCTGAGCCTCAGAAGATTTCTTAGTCC